AAAACGAACCAGGAAATGAATTTAAAGTCATTTTATTACATTCATAATCCGTCAACAACAACAGCATGGCTTTAACGTTATTATATTATTCACAGCCTGCAACCACAATGGTAAACATGAGATAGATGGACCAGGCGCCGCCGGGCTGGTCCTCAAACACATTTCAGTGAAGATTGTGAGAGCAAGTTGCATATTAAGTATTAAATTATCAAAAAAAAACCAAGAAAGACACATTCTAGGATCACTGGAGTTCGACTGAAACATCTTCATCAACATTCACGTGTTTGGACTCACTCGGAGGTCTGTGGGGGAACTTCATTCAAGCGTTCTGCTCGTGTGGAGACGCTTCTTCTTCAGCTGGCAACGTGTACGAGGGTAAGTTCACATCTCCTACCCCCCCAACGACATTCAGCAGAATCACTCGTCTTGTGCAAAGCCTTCATGGATGCTTTCGAGGAGGACACGCTCGCTCGGCTCGAGCAAGCTTTCAGCATGCAATCGGATATTACACCTCAATATGATTATCAGTCCAAAATGCTCGTCAAATAAATAAGAATCCCTCACGGACCTGATTTTCATTTTCAATAAAAATCCAACGCAAGAACAGAAAGGGATACAGACATGTGGTTAGGGATACATCTAGGTAGATTCTTCTTGCCTTTGCAACGTAAAATGCACAAATACACGACCAACAGATACTGGCAAAGGTACACAAGACTAAAAAAAACAAAAAAACATCAGTAACCTTCGGCGGTTCAGGGGATGATAGAATATATTAATAATGTAAACAAAGCTTTAAACAGTACAGTAGTCCAAAATCCAATTCTTTCTTCACCTCACAGTTTAAATGGTTTTTCTTCTTCGTTCTCATTGGTCCGAAAAATGAAAGACTTGAGCAGTGACCGTGTGAAACGTTGCTTAAGGCATATTCTTTGGACAACCCTGTGCAGAAACATATAAAAACATTCTTCTTTCAAGTATATGAATTGACCTGTTTGGCTGCTTTTGACAGTTTTTTTTTCCTTGGATTACCCCTTTATTCCGGCGGGAAAACAAGCTTTAAGGTGTGTGGCCGGGATTGGCGGTGAAGCCTGAGCACACGACGGCAGGAGGCGGCGTCCCAGGCACAAGGTCATTGGCAGTGAGGGCTTCTTACGTTGCATTTCCTGACTTTACATGATTACGACCTCGCATTTAGGCCGGCAAACGCCTGAAAACACTTCTCCCAGGATAGACGTCGCTCCGTCTGATTACACGTGAACGGACGAGATGTGAAATTAAAACCCTGTGGAAAGTCGGCGTTTTAAATAACACGCCGGCTTCGTTCGCTTATATTCAAGCCACAATAGAACATTAAAGTCTTACATTCATGAGAGGACACAACTTTGAAGAGAGTCTTTGGATAAATTCGCTCGCACGGCGTCAGAAAGGATTATCGATGCCACGTAAGTATTTCAGAGGCACAGGAGTTTCAATGTGCTGGATCGAATCGTCCCTTATCGTTCGAATCCCGCCGCTACGGGAGGAGAATCCGATCCGCTCGATGGTGGAAATCCAACACGGGCCGACGTTCCAGAGCCGACGAGCTTCACGGAGTCTGAGAGCAGAAGGGTGGAGGAAAGCGAAGGGAAGGTGCAGCTGAGGGTGTCTTTGGTGCCAACATAATGCCAAACTGTGAACAGGAAGCAAAGTTTAACCCGTTTGAGCGACCTCCCTTTTTGGAAACCCTTCCAAAAACATACAATCGTCCGGTCGTCACATTGTCGATCAGGAGAGCGTCCATTTAACAACCAAAAAAAACAAACAAAGTTCCATTTCAGCTGAGCTTTATCCTCCCAGCAAAGTCCTACTCAGAGTTTAAGACGAGTCCCGACCCTGCTCAGAGCCAGCGTAGTGCACTGTGGTGGACAGACCTGAGGGGCCACGCCGCGTCCTCCAGCGCGGCCCCCCTTTGACCTGCCGTTGACCTGGAAAGAACTGTGGTGGGCCGGACGGTTCGGATGTCTGACGGCATCAGAGCAGCTAAACGTGGCGGCCGGTCAGAAAGTAGAGCGGCCGGTCCTCGCTGCAGTTGGCCGTCTGGAACTCGTCACGCAGGCGGAACTGCCACTCGTCCTCCAGCTCCAGCCGGACGATGGTCTGACGCAGGGAGCTTCGGTCCTGACAGATCACGCAGAGGGTGGCGCCTGTGGACACGCAGGCAGAACTCAGCCGGTGGGTCGGGAAATTTAAAACAAAGACCTGGAGTTCTGAACAAATGTAGCACGCTGGTTCGAGCTCATAGCACAAAGAGTTTCCTGGTAAAACGCTTTTCAGACATAATTTACCCACTAATGGTTTAAAATCTGCTGATTTACTGTAAATTTGTCAAGTTTTGATTCTGCAGAAAGAAGACCAGATACGTAACGGTGTTGTCTGTAGTGAAATATGGGTGAAATGATTTAAATCTTGACGGTAAATTATACCGAGATGGGAGAACATTCTGTTATTAGGGTCCGAGGGCACGCACGTCCGAATCGGCGAAAAATTTGATAAAATGAAAAAAACAAAAAACAAGAAAATGCTCTCTAGCGCCACCTAGTTACAGAAAAACACACTAAAATGGCCCTAGCGCCCAGTAGGAATGTCATACAGAGATCAAACCAACACCAAAATGTTTGTCTCAATGAGCCCCACAAATCTCACACTGACACCCCTGACCTATCTCCAACAGGAAGTTCACAATTTGCCTTTCAAAGTAAAAAAATGAGCGAAAACTTCTTTTGGGAAAAAATTATCTTGTCTGACACCGTAAATCGCACCAACTTGAAAATCGCACAGGAGACAGAGAAGGCCTTGATGTACAAAAGTTCTGAAGGGATTTGGCGTTTCTCAACCGGTTTTCGAATGGCGAGCCGTTAAAGTTGATGAGCTGCCTCAGCCTCGGCTCATACTTTGTATGGGGGTCTATGGGGGCATGTACAGACATGCTGTGTCAGTTGGTCATCTACACAAAAAACTAAAGGTCCTACGGCTTTTAAAATGACACTGAGGGCTTCCTAACAAGATTTCTCACAAAAATATGCTGTTTTTACACACATTTGGTGAAAATTGTGGCTGTATGGGAGAGTTAAAGTGAGTGAAAGTGAGTAAAACTCTCAGTGCTCAAATGAAGAACGATGACATCATCACCTGCAGCTTTCATGCTGATTGGCTGCTCAGTGCAGCAGGTCATGTGACTCACTGACAGTCTGAGGCTGAGCAGAGAGAGAAACATGGCTCCTTTAACCTAAAGCAGGTTTAACTTGAAGAACGGTCAGACGGGCATGAGGGTCCAACGCAGACCGAGGACCCGACCAACGCTGCTTGCAGCTTTAATTTACTATTATTTCTACAGAGCTTAACACATGCATCAGACCTTAGAAGTGTCTGAACAGTGTCTGGAAGTCTATGAATAGTTTTTCTAGCATGCATTGTGTACAGAAATCCCATTGGTGTGACGGTATACCAACAGAAACAGCACAACTACACTGGTGCCATCGATACCTTTGAGGAAGCGGAATTTCTTGAGGAGTCCAGAGACCACGAAGGAATCACAGAGGTAAAGCAGCAGGCCACTGAACACCAGGCCCTGATGGTTGAGGTTGGTGGAGTGTGGACGGGAGCTGATGTAGCACACAGAAATCTAAGAAAACAACAAAACAAGCATCATTAATCCCGCTGCAGCGAGCTAAAGCAAACATTAAATGTTTATCCTTAAGGTTAGACCTCGCAGAAACAACCACGACACCTCGACGACACCTGTTGGGAGCTCAAGGCGCTGTCTGCATGGGAACAGTTAGAGCTGTTGTGTGCATAAAATAGAAAATACAAACAAAAAATGTGTCTAGGTGTGCAGATAATGTGAGCTGTGCAGCGTGTCACCTATGCACAGATGTACAGTATGTGCACGGTTAGCATTCGCTGCACATGTGCGCGGATGCAGGTCAGAATGTTCTGAGTAGAACAGATGGCAAAAGTCCTGCATCAGGCTTCTGTGTGGGTTAAGAACATCCTACAAACTTTAATCTGATCAAAACAGATGGAATAAAGATGTCAGCAGGTGATTTCTGAAGCAGAGGTTCAAAGGTTTCAGGTTTGGGTTAAAGCGAGACGCTGACGGTCGTCTCTCCTGCTTTCAAACGCTGCCCACTGGGAGTTCTTACCTCCGGGCTGAGGTTGAGGTAGCTGTCGATGGACAGAACTGGGTTGTTTCTGTTCTGAGCGGCTTTTGGAAACAGCCTGTGACTGCAGCTCTGCAGGAACCTCTCCAGCAGGAACTGGGCCGGGGCGTCTAGGAGGGTCTGCTCGCTGTCTGGGGCGCAGACGTACTGGGATGGGCTGATCTGAGATGCGCTTTCTATTTTCTGGAGGGAGAGGCGAGGAGCTCAGCATTAGACGGGCTCCATACAGACATCAGACAGCATACATTTACTATAAAAGTGGGACACTGAGGGCACTGAAACGGGAGCATCTTGTCTGGACCCACCGAGAGTTTAGGTTTGATCAGGTAGTCTTTGTTTCCCCCGACTGGAATGTGTTTCTTCATCAGACAGAAGTTGTTGAAGCGGCACAGCAGCAGCCCGCTGCTGTTCACCCTCAGGTTGAAGTCCACGTCCTCACAGTCATACCTGCACATGACGGCAAAGTCAAGCCATGAAGACGCGGTAAAAACATTATTCCTTTAACTGACTGATCTTCGGCTGACTCACCGATTCAGGTTATACTGAACGTTCTGCGTCAGGTCCACGTTCAGCATGACGAAGCTGTGGAGGTGGCATCGGCTGAAGGCGCTGCTGGGAGACCTGTGAGCGAGGCTGCTGTTCCACGTGCGCGTGCCGCACATGGCGTAGAGGGAGATCTTCGGCGTGTTCTCCATGTGCTGCAGCACCGTTTTCAAAGACACGTTGGTGAGCGTCGAGCTTCCATCTGAGATCTCACTGAGGAGCAGAGACGAGGGAGATGATACGACAAAGTTTAGAGTAAGAACTATTGAGAATTATTAATGTTTAGAATCAGAAGAGGCTCCCACCTTCCGTCGGCCGACTGGTGGGCGTTCCACAGCACACAGGAGTCGTCCATCATGGCGATGAACGGCCACACGTCTTGCCTCTTGACGCCTTGCTCCTCCAGTCGGTTCCTCTCCAGCTCCAGGTTGTGGTACGAAAGCTCTTTGATCATGAAGCGGGCGGTGCCTTCAGCAGACAGGAGTGCAAACATCAGTTTTTCATTCAGACGTTCCTAAAACTACCTTACAATGCTCTTCGACCGTAGCGTGTTTCTGGAGGAGATTTTTTAAGCTGCCCAAAATCACACGGAGAAGCTAAATTTGCACGGTGTGTGTTTGTGTTAGAAATTGTAAGAGGAGAACTTTTACAGTTCTGTCAGGCTGTAGATCCTACTCTTCAAGGTCAAGCACATAAATGAAGTTAGCATACACACTACAACGGTGTTTCCAGAGCATAAATATTAGCAGACATCCACATAAATCCTGAGGGGTCACGGTGAGACCACTGCCATATATCTGAGAACAACTTGGTTCAGTTCCACCCGTTTCTGACGGGCCATGCATCTCTTTGGGTAATGCCCTGTAGATATTTCATACACAAAGGCCCTCTCACGCCCGCTAACCTTTCCCCCACATTAAACAAACGTGACTGTACTAAACGTCTAACCAGGGCGGCTCATCGCTGTCATAATCACTCATTATCAGCGAGGCGATATGCTGCGAGGGGACGTCGAGCCCTGTGTGGACTTTTGACCACTAGCAGTGCTGTGGAGCCACTAAGTCCCCGTTTGTGTTGCAACAAGCTCATGTGAGCGAGCGAGCAGCGTGATTCATGCTCCTGCTGCCGGTTCAAAACTATTCCACTGATCAAAGGTTGCCAAGGAGGGTAACAATACACCAGCAGAGGCACGAAGAAAGTCGACTGTAAGCTGGCACACACATGAAAACAATACAAGAACGTTCAAAGACATCTACCGTGCCGGTGGTTTATGAGGAAGGAAGTATGGTGAACACATTTGTTATCTCCTCAACCAGGCACGCAGGGTGTTGTGGTTCTTACCGACGCCGGCATTGTTGAACATAGCAGGCAGGACGAGCAGGATGTGGTTGGGCCAGTACTTCCGGTAGAGGGGCATCTCAAACTGTTTGACCACCAGGACGTGCAGGTGAGCGGCTCCCTCCATGGCGTGGAAAATGTTGAGCAGGCCGTGCTCCTGGCGTCCTGTCGTCGGGGTGAAGATCGGGCTCTTCAGAAGATCTGGGTCCTGCAGACACACACGGAGAAAGAAAAGGTAAAAAAAAAAAAAAAGTGACTCAGCTCAACAAAGACAACAGATTGATTTTAGGTAATAAAGTCTGTTAGACGCCTTTGTTTTGATTTCACAAAACTCCTCAGACGTACACACAAACACAGATACACAGCGTTCCTCATGAGCAGGTGAGAGTGAGCTAACCTTGGTGGAGACCAGCGGCAGACGCATGCTCTCCAGGTGGCAGCCCTGCAGACTGAACACAAAGTGCTGCTCCTTGGCTTTGGGAATCACAAACTGGAGCTGGACCTCCTCCCCCAGCATGGACGAGCAGAAGGTGAAAGCATGGAAGGTGCACTCTGACAGCTACGACACACACACACACACACACATTATTAGCCTTAGACGTAACTCCAGAGAGTAAAAAGCTTTCAGGTGTCTGAGTGTCTCACCTGTGAGGCGGGGCCTGCTTCACAGTACTGGTGGCACTGTTCACAGTGATGAAAGGCGTTGTGGGCGGCAAACCTGCTCAGCCGCATTGACTTGGTCACTCGTTTGGCTGGAGTTTGGCCTTCTCCTTCTTGCTTAAAATCTGGAAATACATCAGAGTAAGTTTGTTGTTTGTTTGTTTTTGGATTTACGATGAACTCTCAAAGTGACCGTTTGCAGATTTTTCTCCGACCTTTAAAGCACTTTGGCATCTTGTCCAGGTAAACAGGACTGGCCTTCCTGAACTTAGGGTCTCGGGGGTTGGGGTCAAACGGCAGCTTTCGAACTTCCTCGATGTCGGGCCACTGGGTGTTCACCGGAGTCGTAACCTCGGAGTTTTCTGCAGATTAGAAGCGGATGAGAGGATGAGAAATGGAGTCATGATCAGATTAGGTTCCTCACATCTTAGCAGTCCATATGAAGGAATCGGTAAGTCTCAGCGATCCTCACCTTCCTCCTCCTCCTCTTCTTCTTCATCGTACACATCGACCTCCAACAGTCTGATGAGCATACGAAACAGGATGCGCAGAAACTGCAGGTAGGCACCAGTTTTTCCCACCTAGCAAAGGACAAGAAACACTCCTGACGCCTACATTCAGATGAACAGCGAACTACATGAAAACATGCGTGTGTTTTATTTCCATGGGTGTAAATAGAAAAAGTGCAAACAATATTGTATATTTCTCATTTTTAAGCAATGAAAGATGACTGTATTACTCCAAGAAGTCACTTTAATAGCAAGCCAGGACTGAAAATAAACCCCTGATCTTCCTGTGTTGCATGCACATGTGAACATTTTGATTCACATGTATGTAACAGACCGTAACTGATTCTCTCAGAGGGGATGAGGTAGGTGTGTGTTGTTACCTGTGGGGGTCCGCTGAGCAGCAGGCGTCGTGGATGTGGCACAGGTGGCGCTTCGTAATCGGCGTGATGCTGCCTGGCGGTGGTCCACTGGCGGTAGTACATGCTCTGCTCCGCCCCCTGCAGGTTGTGAGTGATGAAGGGCCTCAGCGGACTGCTCCAGGACACATCCGCATGAGGCAGCAGAGAGAAGGAGCTCAGCTGACTCCTCGACTCGCCCGCCAGCAGGTTGTACGCAGCTCGCGACATGATGACGGTCCGCGGCGACACTCTGGCAGGCTTGAACTCTCGACTGCACTGCACCGACTGGCTGGGCCTCTGGGTGGAGGAGGAGGAAGGGGAGGGAGAGGAAGATGAGGAGTTGGTGTAAAGGGACGGAGGGGCCTTGGAGGCTTTGGAAGCGCTGGAGGGGAGCTGGCTTCCTTGAGAGTCACACTCCTGCTTGAACCCTTGCGTCACTGTGCCCATGTCGGAGGTGACGGGGCCTTCGGGTGGGGAGGTGGATGTGGAGGGCTTCTGGGAAGAGTCGGCGTTGTCCGATGAGCTGACACCGTTCTCTAACAAAGAGCCTGAGTGAGGACGGGAGGAGAGTAAATATGAAGGTTAAAAATGAGTGAAGCTCACTGAAAAGAGATCGTTTACAGGGACACAGTGTGATGCTTTCATTTGTGCTCATACAGTCAAGGTCACATTTGAGCTGGCATTGCGTTCGCTCCAGAATAAAACCTTATTTCCTTCGTCTGCTGTGTGTGAGCACGGCTTTAATCTCAGTAGTTCAGAGGGACTCACCAGAGGTTCTGGTTGCAGCGCTATCGTTGCTCCGAGGTCTTTCCAGCTCATCTCCATCGTTCAAGCTGGTGGTGGCCTTCTCTCCGTCTGATTCACGCGGGGCCATCACCTTTTTGGGCTCCTGGATGACGCCCATGGGCACATAGGTGCAGGCCAGACCCACCTCCTGCTCCAGGGCCGTACGAGTCAGGTAACTGGAGTCGATCAGACGCAGGTCGCTGTACTTCAGAGACCTGGAGGAGCACAAGTGTGAAGACGGAGAATAAAAGTCGTGTCTTTGTGGGTTCTTTTCCCCCAATTTGTATTAATTTTTAAAAACAACTTTAAGCCAAGATATACTGTCCTGATTTTAAGTCATTCAATGTCAATCTAAACTTACAGATGTTACGTCGCAGATGTTTTATGACTGGCGGGTATTGTGAGGAGTGAGGTTACCTGGGGAAAGTCTCTCCAAGAGGGTCTTTCCCTGTGAGGATGACGATGCAGGGCAGCCCCTCCAGGTCCTCGTAGGTGTGTGGGACCCAGTCTTCGCTCTCATAGCCTCGCCACGCCTGCAGCAGATCACAGTGAACGGAACATGTTTACACTTGGGTTGAGGACGTGTCTTTTAAGGACAGAACAACAAAGCATGCTGGACTAACACTGGACTTTTATTATTGTGATTATACATATTTTTCTTTCCTAAACTAGCAGTCCAGACCAGGGCTTCTACACTATTAGAACTTGAGAGTCATACTTTTAGAAAAAAGCTAAAACCCCAAAACTTTCACGGTTTCAGTTCAGATATCTGTCATCTAACGGTGGTTTAAAGAAAAGAAAAACTACTGTGAGAGTAAAGCAGTGCTAATGATTCCTGACTCCTCTGAGTTTCATTCAAGCTTTCACATCCGTACAAACATTGATGAACTCGAGTGTTTCGCTCCTATTTCCTGAATGCATCTTGCTCGAATACACGACAGTAACTTTGCATAAATATTTCATGTGGTTTGTAGGAATGATTTCGTGTTAGTCTCACCCGGAGGCGGCTGGTGAAGTTTCTGTGCAGGTTGAGCTCGGAGGCCGGACTCCCCAGCAGCACCGCGAAGCACAGCTGGAGTCCCAGCTTGTCCCTCACGTCCTCCAGTCTCTCCCGGGCCAACATGGCCAGCTGCAGCGAGGGGACCCGGACCAGCAGCATGTGGCCGCGGCCCTGAGAACCCTCTCTGCTTGGAGCATTGATCAGGTCCTCCACCATGGCCAGGGTCTCCGGGGTTATGTGGTCCCTCAGGGAGGGGGACGAGGTCAACGCCATCATGGCCTCCGTGTACTGCTGAATCAGCAGATAGCTGCGGATCACCATGCTGTGCAGATGTGGATGTCTGGGGTGTTAAAAAGAGAAGAGTTTGATCTGGTTAGAACCTCAGGCATCATTTTGACCTTAACAGATTTTACAGTGTTGAACCTGCAAACCACCAGTAAGAGCCTGGATGTTCGATGACACCAGTCCTCTGCTGTCGTGATGTCTTAGTCTCGACTCCACACCAACCTTTCCAGCAGCGTGTGAACCATCTCCTCGAAGGCATCGTCGCAGCGCAGGATGGGACTGGCCACGCCCCACTGCAGGGACCTGCTGTAGTCCCTCAGGCCAAAGTAGACCAACTCAGTGGGAGACTGCTCCCTCTGCTGGAAGACAACAACACCAACAGTGTCAACAGACGCTTATTCTGTCTAGAAGCATCGTATCAGCAAAGCACATACTTCTAACTTCTATTCAGCTGCTGTGCTGCCAGTCAATGCAGTGTTTGGAGAGAGAGATAAGTTATGAAGCATGTATTGTCCACAACCTGAGAGGCGGTCTGATTTATCTAATACAGCAGCTTCGGGCCTCTTTGGCTTAAGATTCCTACGAGAGGAAGACCAAAATACGATCACACACTTAAATGAAGCTGTGGTGTTTGACAGTGTGAGGTAGTGAGGGCTAGAAATAGTAAAGGAAGCAGCAATGGGACACACCATCATGACTGGTTTGATCAGCTGCTCAGGTTTGTGACATCGCAGTGTTCATACATTTTAGCAAACTAAAAGGCCAGTTTCTCTATAAACTGTGGACAAGGAAAGTCTGCAGACTGAGAGAAAGGAGGCATAATAGCATCAAAAAGTCTTCAGAGACTTCATGCACTTGATGCTTTGACAGTAGGACAACCTTAAAGTCTCACACACACGGCAGGAAAATCAGAAAATCGGCAGCAAATCTACAAAAAGGCTTATTGGAGTCATTTTTAGATGCTTGAAGAATTTAACTGAATATGTGAATAAACAAGAGTAACGTCACATAGCAAACTCCCTTGATTTATCCTGCGACCATCAGTGATCTAATCCCCAAGTTGGGGACTCGACTCTGTCATTCAGAGGATATTTAACCCTTACAGACTGTTTCAGGTCAAAGTTGACCCATTTTGACATCGTAAAAATACCCTAGACGTCATTCTTTTAGCCGGAAATTTGATGACTTTTCCCGAAAGTGACCCAAAATACACACAAATGAAAACATAAAATCTTATCGTTTTGTACAGGTGCTACAGTTTTTTGTCCACTGAGGCTGTTTGGGGTCAAATTTGACCCGTATGTCCATTGAGATGGATCTTAGATCTACCAGTGTGGGTCAAATACAGGAAAATGGTGGTTTTAGGGAATCTTGAAACTGTGAAATTGTCCATGTGTATTTTTTATTTACATTTATTAATGTGACATCGGCTCTTTAGACATTCTAAGTAGAGCTGTAGTTTAAACTGGTGTAGACGCTTACTGTGAGGGAGTTCTTGACAGGAGTTCTTGTGAAGGCATAAAATATGAACAGTACTTAACACTAATCGTAAGGTTGGCGGTTCGATCCCCCACCCCTCCACAATCGAAGCGTCCTTGGGCAAGACGCTGAACCCAAAAAGTTGCTCCCAATGGCAGGCAGCAGCTTGCAGCTCTGTCACCACTGGTGTATGAACGTGATCTACTTTTAAATGTACGTCGCTTTTTGATAAAAGCATCTGCTAAATGAAATTGTAAATGTAGTTAGATATGTGATGTAACTGTGAATTCTAAATAAACTCAACATAAGCATGACAGTTACTCATACAACATTATCTTGACATAATTATTATTTTGCATAAACTAACTCTTAAAGACCTGAATTTCTTTTACGAGTGTTTATCTGCAACAATAAAAACCGTTAAATGTAAACCACGCTGGACTGAAACCAGACCAGACATTTTTATTAACACTAATTTTCGACAGTTAGAAGCACTGTGGAGGTAAATTATGTTAAAAACATGAATCTTGGGGCATTCAAATAGGCTAAAAGTTCAGAAGATTCCAGTTTTCTGTTTACCTTTGAACCCAGAAGAAGGCAGAAATGCTAAAAATAAAAAAGATCCAAATCTCTCCAGGTAGCGTAGGCGCAATTTTAGTCCAGCAGGTGGTGTACCTGAGCCACAGCTGCTAGAAAATGCATAAATGTGCAATTTAACTATATTTTAAAGTTAAATACCAAAGAAATGTTGTGAGGTTTTTGTCATGTTTTTGTTTTTTATGTGTATTGTTCCTTTGACACCCTGCTGTGACGTCTTGGAGTCCTTTCTAACACTTTGAGGCCTTTTGTGCGTTAAATAAAACGACTCACCAGACTTTCGTTGGACGGCCAGTGGACTTCATTGTGGATGCTGATGCGTGACTGGCGGGTCTGCAGGGTGTACGGGAAGCAGCTGACCTGCAGCACCAGGAGGTTCATGGCCTCCAGGACTTCTTGGCAATTCACCACCCGGTCGGCTAAACCCTGCAGCTCGCCGTGGCACACTGAGCCGGACAGGGCACTGGGAACGGAGCGAGTGAGTTTTGGATCAGTTCTTGACTGATTTCTACTACAGCTGGGGGCAAATAACAGCTTGACCAGTAACATTGTTAATGCATAAAGCTTTGGTGTTTGCTGGTTTAACTACCCTGACAGTGGTCTATTTTATCTTTCTGAAAACAGCAGTTATCCTGAAATAAACTGAGAATCTGCTGCAACCATCTCTGAACACTGACATGCTACAAACATTAAACTCAATATCCAGGAAAAAACATCTCTCAGAAACAAGTACGTCTAAGAATAAAGCAGAAAAACAAACAGGGATCTCCTACTCTCTGACCTACATTTCACCAACACGTAAGGTGTATTTGTTTTCGTCGCCTGCAGCTGCTCCCTTTGTTTCACTTTAATCAGTGAATAAAAGCACAAGGCTACGCGTTCAGTCACAACAGCTCATCTCGTCACACAGTTATCACCAAAGTTATCAGCAGAGCAAAAGCAACGTCAGTTCTCGTCGTGTTTACCGCCGCGTTGTCTTTACCTCGTGAGGTCGACGTGCGAGTTGTCGTGAATGAGGACAAACAGCGTGTAGGGGTTCTGCTTGACTTTCTTCATGAAGGCCTCCATCTTGGCGTGGACGTCAGCGTCCAGCCGCACCACGTACTTGTCTGATTTCTGGTGGGCTGTGGGAGCGTCTTCGTTGCCCAGGTCCACAAGCACTCCTGAGCCGGGAAAAAGAAAAAAAAAAAGGAATGATGCACAAATGACGAAAAGATTTAAAGATCCCAGCGCTGAGTCTTTGTCGTTCAGTACCTGATTGTCGGATGCGCTGGGCCGTCTGGTGCACCAGAATATGAGAGGGAGGGACCAAGATAAGAAAGTCCACCTTACAAAAACGACCCAGGTCAAGGTTCTGGGTCCCTGAGTCGGCGATGGAGCAGACTTGTGAGAGGAGGCTACGAGCCACGCTCAGCTGGGATGGATAGATCTGGAAGACCTTGCTTAAAGGCTCTGCTACACGAAAACAAGAACACAGCATCAGCACGGTTGTCAACTTTAAGAAAAACATTATTTTAACTGCACTAAACCTAAAGTAAACTGCTGCACAACAGTGTACTTGACTGAAGGCCCACATACGTCAGCTGCCAGTACATTTGTAATAAATCACCACAGTGTTCACAAACATATTGATTTTTATGCTTTACTCAAGCCTGGATGAAAAAAAAAGAAAAAGCTGCTGCCCACTAACAAGTGAGTCAGTCGCTTTAGTTTAGACAGCGAGTACACTCGGGAGCAGTCTAACCTGTGTCTGAGGGCGGTGACATGCTGGCAGCCTCCTGGGAGTGAATGTGGTCAGTGACATCGCCCTGAAAGGGCTGGATGACCTGCCCTTTCCGTCTGCGTTGGTATCGCACCAGCTGCTTGTCAAGATTGTCCCCTGGAAACAACCAGTCACCGTCGTCACGTAAAGGCACGCAACCATGGATACGAGTACAACAGCTGTACACAGATCTGACTCAGTATTAAATATATCAACGCGTGAGCGAAGCGTTTCTGCATTTTGTCTTTCATTACACAGCAGTATTTTTCTCCAAGCCTGCTGAATTGTTTTCTGTATCGGACGAGTAAAACAACGAGCGTATGTTTTATGGAAACACAACGTACCCAGAGAGGTGGTTTTGAAGTGAGACGCCAAGATGCTCACTTTCCCCGTGATGAGTTCGTAGCTGATTTCCTTCAGGAACTCATTGGTTGTCAGCATGCCTTCAGCTAAGGCCCTGGCTTGGTACTTTCCTGCATCCAACAAGCAAGTTCGGATTAATCACACATGTCTTGCAGTGAATCAAGATGCTGAAATGAGTTATATAAACGGCAAAGCTCACCCAAGACAAGCACACAGAACTCGTTGCCGCTCATTTTAGAGGCACATATAATGACCACGTAGGTTGGCAGGCACTGCTGAAGGGAAGGACCCTCGCTGAGAGAACGCAGCGACTCAGAAATCCCCTCACCCAGAGAGTTGTGGGTCACCACCACATGGACGCTCCCCCCAGAGACGCTGGCTTCTAGCCGGGCCAGCCAGGGCAGCTGAGACGGGGAGATGGCAGGACCCCCCGGACAACACAGCATGGCCTTCAAGACTATCTGCTCCAGCTCCTCCCTCAGAGGAATCTGCTCTGAACCTGCAGGAAGAAATAAGTTCAGCTCAGTCGTGAAGGATTGAAAGAGCTTACACACCAAATTTATGTTTCTATGTGTTTGATCGAGACGCCTTTACCTTTACAGCAAACATCACAGTGAAAAAAAAGATTTCTGTTTGCGTGCAGGTGCTCACCTAAACGTGCAAGGTACTGTAACGTGAGCAGGATCATGGTCTCCACGCTGAGTAGCTGGCTGCTGCTGAGGCCCAACGTCTCCAGAGTTTTGTCCGTCAGCTGGCTGCTCTTGTAGCAGCTGACCAGCAGGGGGCTCACCACTATGTCGCCCACGTTCCCATAGAAATACGGTAAAGTGCCATGCCCTGAGAAGAAAAGCCATCATTACACAAAACGTCCACTCACTGAGGACAAAGACAACAGAACAGCTGATGGTTGTGCTTAAGGGAAATATGAAATATATCATAGTTTGTTGGAAGAAAGTTGTGGCGTGCAAATACGGGCTGAAATCTGTTTTGGCCAGATACACATGACAGGGTATTTTATATTTCATCACGCTGTTGGTCTCTGGTTATTAAGTCCTATATGTGACAAGCCACATGTGAGGAGGATAAACCAACCTGAACACATCTTACTCATCGTTTCCCATCCTGATATTATCCCTCTGAAACCCACCACAGGGTGTTTGAAAGGAGTGTTACCTCTTTTAAAAATTAGCAAAACCAAACCATCACCAGAGTTTAAACTTTTTAAATTCTCCTTGAACTACACATCTGTTCTGTACCATCAGAAAACAATAACAACAATCTAATTTTAAAAATCATAATGCATCAAAATTGTTGTATTATTTTAAAAGAAACCATCTGCTGCAACCTGATTCTGTAAAAAAACATAAACTCTGCGTTCCTTGGCACAACCATGATGCCATACATGACTCAGCTGTGACTAACGCTCATACAGAGGGGAATCTGGGACCTTTTGGCTCAACTTTAGAACTAAATAAATGATGATTTCAGACAATATGTCGGTGTCACGCTGCACAGGTGACATTTCTGAGTTCTCTCTGCTCCTGGTCATGGTTGTGCTGCTTCCATAGAGGTGCAGGACTTTAGATTGCAGTGAAAACCGAGGCTACAGCGACAAGGAGGGGATGAGCGAAATAAAGCTTTTACCAATGAGGATGACAGGGCGAACTCCTGAGGAGCTGAGCAGGTTGTCTGGGACGATGACCGTCTCTCCTGCAGTGATGGGTTGGGGCTGAATGACGCCTGCTACCGGCGGCTGAGGAGACGACACCGCTGATACAGAACCTGGATAAAGGAATCACATGTTAATGCACATTTTAACCACTCACAGAAGTTGTTCAGTGTTTACGTGTCACAGGAAGCCCTGCGGCGGTGTTTGTGGTTTCTGTGACAAATATTACAAAAAGCTAACTTTTATTATAAATCCGTTGTGGCGTATATAACTACAGCTACACGATGCGGCAGAAATCTTCTTCAATCATTTTTTAAAAAATCATTTCTGCAGCAAACTGTCCAGCTCCATCTCCATGGCGATTCCGGATGAATCATCCCTTAACAACCGGAGAGCGTCACAGGCGTCGGTAGCAGACTCATCCCCAAACCGGAGTGAGTGGAAAGAGATAAACAACAGTCTACGCAACCGAGGGCAGCTTTGTGCACACGTGTCACAAACACACAGTCAGAATAGCTCGAAAGGCAACACATGGCATAAGAAAGATTATTTAAAACCTCCTGACGGGCTTTAGTGCAGAGTAACGGACCTGGAGAACAGACTACTGGACGGATGGCTGGTACGGGGACGGCTGTTGGTGGGACCGGTACCAAGGTGCTGGGGTGCCAGCTCCGATGTCGCTTCTTTGGGGGGCCGGTGTTCATAGCGGACGATACTAAGCATAAAAAAAAAAAACAGGAAAAAGAGCAAAACATAAAATATTGTGCTTCTACAAATATAAGACTTTATCATGTCTTCAGAGAGAAGGGCCCACCTGGACTGTCTCCTAAATCAGCAGTGCGATAGGCCTGACTCTGAGGCCCTAAGGACACCTGGGAGGGGCTCAGCAGGGGAGGACGCCCATCAACACCCAGACCATTAGCTGGTCCGTTCACCCGAAGAGCTGTGGGGACTGGAAGCACACAAATGCACACATCAATACAGTAAAGGAAGCTTAGAGGGTTTAATGAACTATATCATAGAAAGTGTTATCAGTGTTTGAGAAAGAAAGAGTAAGTCTGGAGGCATAAATAACACCAGAGGGCAGCACCAGAGTCCACGCCTACTTCACCTGCGCCCTCCACTCCAGAGACAATCTCCAGATTTTTTAAGCTTCGTTAGGTTTCAGACTACCTGTCGCGGCTTCTTGTCTTTTTGTGGACTTTGTGATCCTTGCTTGAACCTATTGTCAGCCTCTCTTTAAGCTGTGTATTTAGCAGTAAAGCACCTTACAGCCTCCTGCCTATAGCCATTCTTTTGTATTTTGGTCCTCCGTCCTGCCTTCCTGATGCAACCGCGACACGTTGAGAAATTTCCATGTGTACCAGAGCGGCTAACCTAAATTAAATTAAATTAAAAAATAATAAAATTTTCCCCAACTATAACTTTCTGCAGAAAAGGCAATAAATAAATAAATAAAAAAGCACCAGTGCTAACAGTGGGTTGTTGATTTTCTATTCATGCTGCGATTGGACATTTTCTCTTCTCATATTCAGTGTGTATGCAATACGCTAAACTATCGATTGTTATGTGTAGCCTTTGCTGGTCAATATCACAACCTTGTAAACGGGCTAATGGATAGCGAGGCCTTAAAAAGTCATTACACCATTTCTTCTTTCAGTATTGATCGGTGTGTACACACACAAGCGTGTGTTTGTGTGTGTGTCTAAGCAGGCCATAGCAGAGGTTAATCTTAGCCTCATGGTCAGCCACGGCTCCATCTGCCTTATGCTGAACCACGTAAAAAAAAAAAAAACTGTAGCTAAGCAACCCCCTTCAGCATAAGGGCAAGGCCATTTAGGTGTCACTCACATAACGACAGAGGCTTGTCAGCGCCAAAATCCTTGCAAATACCAGCGTCACAGCCTGGATGCGGCGAGGAATGTGGGTGAGTGTCAACCAAAACTGATGCAGTGTTTGCTGTGCTGTTTGTTTCTCGTATCAGCTGCCGTGTGCAGAATGATGTAACATGTGAAAGACCTTCACCTATTGGCAGCGTCTTGTTCACAGGTGTGGAGACGAGAGGTTTGAGGAAACTGCAGTCTCTGCCCAGGTCCTGACCTCCAAAGAAGACGGCGGATGCCTGCGCCGCTGTGGTGGGTGGAGAATCTAAAGATGAAAACAAAGGCAGAATATTATTACTACACAGTCATCAACTCCCTGTAATGCTGACGTATAGCGTTCTCTTGTCCACTGAGTGCCTTCAAAGCTCAGAACTACAATTATAACCGTCGTCAAACACTAACAGTCTCTTGTCTATGTCTGAACAACAACCAGAGCACAACTGTCCTCTTCATGAATGACTTCAGGATAAACAGCCATTAGGTGTAGGGAAGGGGAGGTGCCTGTTATGGATTCTAACCTCTTGCCTTTGTGTCAGTGTCGTCTTTGGAAGGACGCACCTGAAGGTTGCACTCATGTGATTTTAGACGAGAGTAATGCCAACGGCATGTCTCGCACATTAACATGTGAGATCTCTGCTGACAGGCAGATTCCAGGTTCAGAACAAATCAATACCATAAGCCCAGGAGCTTTTTTTCAATCAAAGAGGGAACAGAAGCTGTTGTTGTGAGAGGTCAGAGAAGAACAACATCTCCTTGAGGAGAGGCAGAATGTGTCTCATAGCGATATGAGATTTAGTTTTTTGGGTTTACCTCGAGAAACGAACCCTGCCTTGATTAGATGCCACTGCTGTTAAATTTCCACTTTCATTTTCATTTGCATGATCTCTCGTGACAGAAGGATGTTTGTAATATTTATTAAAGAGCCTTCTAGGCCAAATATTATACGATCAGGCAGCTGGTTTCAAATCAACAGCCACTGCTATTAACAAAGATATTAAAACACTGAAAAGGATTGTTGCTCCTTGTAAAATGTAAATCAGAAGGGATGACACACAAGCAACAAAGCCTGGTCTTTAATTAACAGATGGATATAGTGGTTCGCTTTATAAACGTCAGGGCTTAGCCACCACAACCTGTCCCTATGGCAACAACATAAGCCTGCCAGCACTGACCTTTGACTGACAAATTCTGAATACCGTAGCACTTTTTTCTTTTTTTTTTTTGTATAGCAATTTTTTAAATGCTAGAAATGTCATCTTGTACCAAAGTAAATCCGTGTCAGCCTGAACCAGATCTTGCAATATGTGCATCTGTGCCGCAAGCGTGTCGTCTCACCTGAGAGGGAAAATGGAGAGGAGCTGTGTCCGCTGGTGCCTCCGTTCTCTTTACTGCTCAGGGAGGAGGACGAGTTGGGTTTGGAGGCGGACGCGCTGCTCGTGAACTGACGGGTTTTACTGTCTGAGAATGCAAACAGAGGAAAAAAAACATTAAATACAGTACATGAGATGAGACTGTGAACAGATTTATAAGGTCTGTTTCTACCTTTCCAGCAGATGAGGGGTCCTTTGCACAGAGCACCCTGAGAATTCTTCACCAGGTAGTATTTTAAGTGCTTCTGCTTCTTGGGCTGGGTGGACAACTTCAGGTTGATGTGATTTGAAAACTCAGTGAAGTATCTGAAGCCCTTCTCACCACAGCCGACACAGTTTCCTGAAAAACCTGCGAGTGACAGCAGATAAACAGAAGTTATCATATGTGATTTAACGAGCATGACAAAGATAAATGTGCATTCTAGAGAATGGGCAAACAGCAACAGAACTTATTCGTTTCATCAGAGCCCAAAGCGGCGCTGATGCCTATCCGTCTCCTTCGTGTTATCTGAGACCATGAGAACAGACTGACCTAAAAGTGCATTTTTCCCATTCTCATCAGGCAGAAAGCGGCGGTCCACGGCACACACCAGGATGTGCTCGGGGACACTGGGAGACTTGGCACCGACCAGCTTGAAGCCTGCTGGGACTTCGATGGACTCTGTTGCTATGGAGACCAGGCGGAGGTCCTTTCCGGCCTGACAGAACCCTGGGAGAGCAGAGAGGATGTTTTATTTTTTTTTAGTCAGAGAAAGAAATCTGACGTGATATCTGAACAAATGTAAAGTTATTTTCGGCTTAGGTCCGCCTGACATTTGCTATTTCAACAAAATTGCTTTATCGTACGTGTGTCACTGAAAAAAATCCCCTAAAATAAACCTTTTACACTAATTAGATTCTGTAATAAAAGAGGCAAAAAAAACTGTGCTTCCCCTCAGTGCTGCTGTGAAGCCATGAGTGACTCAGCAATGAACAAAATCAGAGACTTTTCAGCTGAACTGGGCTGCTGCTGTGTTTACACAGAGCAGATAGGAGAACACATTAAAAATGCAATTAGTAAAATATCTTCAGTATGCAGAGCCACTATTTCATTCACAGTATTGGTAACACCTGTGGAAACTTGATAAAAATGTTGCACACGATGATCCCTGTTTTGATAAATTTTTATAAAATAAACAATGAAACAAATCCAAATCCATCGTTTCATGATTTAATGTGTTATAACTCCGTCACGCTGCACAAACAGTTTGTTCTGTTTCTAGCCACGGTCGTGCTGGTTCCATAGAGGTGCAGGACTTTAGATTGCAGTGAAGAATGAGCCCAGAGTGAGTAAAAACGCCCAGAAGCAGCCTGCTAATCAGAGGTTTAGCTTATATTAGATTATACCATCCAGTGTGCAGCAGCCATCTGGTGCAGGCGTTTGCAGGTAGGGAAGCGGAGGGCTGCTGCTGTCTGAGTCGTCTTCGTCCTCCAGCTCCTCCGGATCGTTGGACGAGTGGTCATTCAGTAGCTCGTGTCCTTGGTGCTCCCCGCCGTGGAGCGCCATGTTGGGCTTCGGCTTCACGTCTGCTGGACGCATTAGACCAGATTGTTTTTATTACAATAATTAGCACACTATAATTGAAGTCCTTTTGCTTCCTCATGAATGTGTAGATGTATAACTCCCCACCGCCCCCAAGCTCGAGCACACCAGCTCACCTATGACCTACGCAATAGCACAAAGTTGTAATATTTGAGTAATTCACATATTTGCGCCAGAAGCTTATTCTTAGAAAGAAATAATGAAACAGAAAGCTCCATCCTTCTTAGGTCAATTACATACGAAACCCCGGAGCTCTGAATGTGTGTTTTTGAGACATGACACAGCAGTTTCAAGGTGAAAAGCGCTCAGTCATGTTGTTAACTATTTATTTCTCCCTCAATGTGTCTTACAGCATGTTAAAAAAAAAAACATAAGGAAATGTTAACTTAAAAAAAAAAAAAAAAGTGATTTTCACTGGAGCAAGTCTTTATCAGATCCATAATTTCCTAGAAATATTTAATAATGGAGAATCACATGGAGTGAAAGAGGAGAAACCTACAGAGTCTTTAAGTTGGTGCAGACACGTCAACACAATTAAAACACAAATAAATGAGTAAGGAATCAAGATTTCAAAGAGATTTTAGTTTTTTCTTATTAATTTGTACAGTAAAAAAGAAAGCACTGTCCATTTATTGCAAAAATAATCAGTCAATATACAGTTTTGGGAGTAAAAAGTGATGCTTTCATGTAAAATCTTAATTAAGTTGTGCAGAATAATTAGAACTATAGACGCAGCAACCAGGCTGATGATATATAGTTTTATCACAACGACAAATAATTCACAATTTCTACCTCTTACTATTGATTCGAACCATGAACAACAGCATTTTAAGTTTCAGTGAACCCGAAGCTACGCGTTTTTGTCACCAGCTCTTGTCCTGTAATCCTAGTTTGCTAACTCTGGCGATGCTCCTACCTTCCATGTTCCCAGGATACGGCTCCGGCTCCAGGTACAGCTGCGTGAAGATGGGCTGCGGATCTCCGCTGCTCGAGCGCAGCGACGCCTCAATCGAGTTATGGAGAGCCTCCTCAAATCGAGCAGATTTCAGCTGCCCAGCATATGAATTCCCCATTATCTGTGGGAGGAAAGGGCAGAATGTGTTTGGATTAGCTCCTTTTGTAGCGATTGTAAGCTCAACAGACAGCATGAAAAAAGAAAAGAAAAGAAGCAACAGGTGTCTCACACAAATGCCTGCATGTCTGGGTTTTAGGTCAGGGGAGGTCTTTATTTTTATTTTGCATGATTCAAACTGCTTGATTATTGTGTAAACAACATTAATTCATCTGTGGTTGTCTCCTTTGTTTTATGCATCAAGGTGGCTCAGGACAGCATTCATGTGTTTTGGGCTCATTTTAGCTTAAAGATAAAATATTCTCTGGGTATTTCTGGCAGTGAAAGTAGGTTTGCTAAATCACCAAATACAAATAATTTCCAGAAAAGGAAAAAATGACAAAGATTTAGGTGATATTGCTCCACAGGCAGCAAATAAATGCTAAACATTTGCTAGCTCCGGCTTCTGAAATCTAAAGTTTATTTCTTGAATATGACAGTAATTAAATATCTTCAAGTTTTAGACTGTTCGTCAGACAAAATCTTCTCTTTGTAAAGACTCTCTGGTCTGGTTGGACGGTAATCTGAGTGCACAAAGCTTCTGCAATCCTGTTTTTATTGCCTGGAAATATTTGTAAAATATGGTCCATCGTAACGTTTGAAGATGCAGAGATCATTTTACACACTTTTATTTCATCATGCCTGGATCAGCGTAGCAGCCCTTTTAAACTGCCTCAACCAGAAGAGCTACTGATTGACTCCAGACTGCACAGAACTCCACTGACGGGCTTTTACCCAGAACCGGGAAACACAAGCGTATTACTCCTGTTTCAGGTTCTTCAGACGGGCTCTCAGTACGCTCTAGGATAGATGTATTTCAGGATTTTCAACCTTTTAGTAGCACTTGCACCAGTTTTGCACTTTGAGACCCACGTCTGTTGTTTGTTCCAGGGGCTTGGCTGAAGACTAAAGGGGACAAAGTGTTTGCAGGCAGATCCCCAAAGGCCTGGACCAGGAATCAGGTCGGCTGAGTTAACCCTTACATGCTGTTCGTATTCTATTCCTGTCGAGGGAGCAAGTTTCTACACCAAATTTTAAACTACAGATCTATTTAGAATGTCTAAATTAATTAATAAATGTCAATAAAAAAATACACACGGACAGTTTCACGGTTCCAAGATCCCCTAAAACCATAATTTCTCTTGATTTGAATCCATCTCAGTGGATATACGGGTCAGATTTGACTCCAAACAACCTCAGTGGACAAAAATTTAAGTATGAAATTCCCACAATATTTTCATTTTTCTGCATTTTGTGTCAACTTAGGGAAAGTCATCAAACTTCAGGTTAAAAGAATGACGTTTGGGGTATTTTTATTGCTGTCAAATGTCAAAACGGGTCAAATCTTAAACCATACTTTTCATAGAGAGCCTAATTGTGTATTTCTTCCAATTATACTTCTACCTTTTTAACTGTACTGGTTTTTTATGCCATGTTGTGTTTTCACCGGTCTCTTAAATGATTCTGTATATCATGTGGATGCCTTGTATTATTATCTAAAGCATCATATTCAGCAGATCAGACTATCAATCAGTGAATCACATTTATCTCTATTTGATGATTGACATTATGCATCCTATTGTATAATAACGGTGACTTTACCAAAAGCTCCTGCCACTAACGTCTTTGTCTATGTCAGTCAAAGCTAACTCCTATTCCCTATGTGTTCCTGGTCTCCTTCTGTCTGCTGCGTTCTGCCTGTTCTGCCCTGGTGGCCCCTCCACCCCGCCGTCCACTCGGGGACATCTGCCGAGGTCGGCGGTGTGGGCTGCGAGGTTGGCCGGCTCCCCGGTGGCAGGTGGCAGCTGGACAGAGGGCTGAGCATGTGGCCTCAAAGGAGAGAGCGAGAGGAGGAACAGAGGGCTGGAGGGACAGAAAGCACTCCAAATGTGGTGAAAAAGCAGCGCTGACCAATCGTCACGCTGCATCCCAGTCGGGTTTTTTTCCTGGTTTAGAAAAAAGGGCCTTTATGGAGGTGGTGGTGGTGGTGGGGTGACTACACACAGTAATAAATACGATCAGTGTGCAAACAGGAGAGGAAATACGACAGAAAGGACTCTAGTTGAAGGAAAATTCTCTTGTTTTAGAGTGAATTAAAACCTAAATTACAAAACAAACTGGTTTTCTTCTTATCTGTTCGGAGCTGGGGGTTTATTCTGTTGATTTTCCTTATCAAGTCCAGTGATTCCTCCTTTTTCACTTTGTCAAAACACATCATGAGGTTCTTAAGACCAAGCCAGTAATCAAGAGCGTTTAAACTGTGTGAGCTAGAAAGAGAAAATAAAAGAGGAGAGGGGGGTTGGCTGGCTGGCTGCTGTCCGGACACACGAGTTTGGCCTGAAATGCTTCTTTTATGTTTGTCCTTGGACTACATTTGACCGGTGCGGACCACTGTTGTGATCAACACCGCGGCCGCCAAGAGGAAGCCCAGATTGAAGACTTCAGCTGTTGGGGAAAAAGCTCAACCTCCTCATTAAGGTCCAACTAAGATCCTCCACAGCTGTTGAACGGCCGTCGTGTGTGTGTGTGTGTGTGTGTGTGTGTGTTGTGATCACGGTCGGTTATGTAAGTCTCACAGCGAAGTGGCGATTTCACTAAAATCTGACGTGCAGCATCACCCTGGATTTTAGGTTAAACGCAACGTCGTTAAACAAAAACATGAGTCAAAACTGAAATGTTTTGGGTAATTTAGAGCTCCCCCTTCACTAAAACCCTTGCTAGAGCTTCAAATGACTGAAAACTAATCAGCAATTATCAAAATAGTTCACTTTTGGTCAGTTATCCGATTAATTCAACAACTGTTTCATATCAGACATCTGCCAAAATGTTCAGGAAGCGTCTCTGAGCTGTAATGTGATAATGGTACTCTGTGGAAGTCAGACGATTAAATAAAAACAATTAAACGTTTTCTGTCCACCATGTGACTGAATACAGTGTTCAGTAGCGGGCGACGCAGAAACCCTGAGAACCCTTTTTTTTTTTGTTTTGTCAATACTGGACAGGCTGGGAATGAAGCTGGAGATGCCTTTCGCCTCCCAGGTCTCATTTTGCCCACGCCTGGACAGGTTCCAGACCCTGTGTTTACTTAACAACCTTCCTGGAGAGGAATCTGACCAACCCAGACAAAAGACAAGATTAACAGTGCCTGACTGTGCTGTCAAAGAGATAAGCAGCTTAGGAGAATGAAGCTACAGTATTTGTTGCTTAACTGATGGAGGAAGGTGACTGCACAGCGAAACAAAGACAGAAAAGGTAAAAAAATAAAATAATAAAATAAAACAAAAAGAGGGAGAGAAAATGAGTGCCAGAGGGCGTTTGTATGTATCTGAAGTCAAAAGAGGCTCCGGAGGCTTCTCTGCCTGGATGACCGTCAGGCCCCAAAGGACAGATTTGTCATTAACCTGGCGTAGGCCGGAGGTGAGCGCACACACCGACCTTTTATCACCTGTGCAACTTAAAACAAAGTGTGATTGCGGCAGAGGTCATTTAACGGATGTTTGTGGGGCGTGACTCAGGTGGTTGCTACGCTGGGTTGTAGTGGCGGGTGGAGGGTATTTCAGGTCAGCGAGCAGCTGCAGCCGTCTTGATGGATGGTCCAACATAATGAACAGACTCCGGAGCAGTTTACTGGTCAAAGACTAATGTCTAAAAAAAGGTGTTTGTGTCAGCGAGCGACGCCTTTAAAGCAGCCAATCAGCTGGTCAGTCAAGGCCACTCCACCGCTCCTGGGTGGCATCAACAGATTGCATGAATGTGACCCCGGGTCAGAATAAGCTGATCTCCACTCAGTGGAACTGAGGAGACCACGGCAGAGAAAATACAGACACTGAAATCTGAGGGGGAAAAAAAAGACATCAGAAGTGCAATTAAACCCACGGTGACCTACGTTGTCGGACTGTTCCCAGGCGTGAAGGGACTTGTTCACCTCTGCTACATGCTGGATCGCTACCAATCAGCAGAAACGTTCAGCAAAGACATGTCACTCGTTGCTTCAAGACCTGGGGGGAGAGAGCGGAGAGATCTCTGATTAGTTCACAGTCCGTCACTGTCAGTGGCACAGTCACACAGATTAGGTTTTCTCTCAGCATCTACAATTAAACTTTCTCTGTTTGGGTAAATCACAAACCATTAAACTACTCATTCTGTGTCTGATTCCCTCTTTAAAGATGTATTTTTAGATAAAACATGAAACTATCAAGACAACAAAAACACTCCTTGAAAACGAAGCAAAATGACAAATTAAAGCAGATTGATTCGCTACATCACAATTAAATCGAAGGAACATTTTGTCATTGCAGTTTAAACGACCAAATCAATTAATAAGAGCAGATTCATTCCAACAAAACATCAGCACTGCACAGAAAGCCCAAAACACCGTCTGCCACATGTGCGCTACCACGGTCCAAAGAACACGCTCATTCACAAAATGAATGGGAGCACTCACAGCCACTCAAACATTAAGTGCGGCTCCATCATACGCGCTGGCTAAAAATACGTTACGTGATATCATGACCCCGGGGCTATTTGCATAAAACACAAGTGGGTGTTTTAGTTTGCGGCTGCACAGACTACACACGGTCACTCGGAATGGATTTACCAGTTACTTTGACCTTTTGACAAACTATTGTTGAGCCACTCAGCCTCTGATATAATAGAAGCAAAGTTCCCTTCACAACACCGGCTGTCACAATCTAGCCGGTCATCACCTCTGCCTGGTTTGGGGTCCAAGTCCTTCAAATAGCAAGTGTACACAAGCGGGTTTAACTTGCATTTCCCGACCACACTGGAACTTATTTTGTGAATGATTAGCCAGCTTGATACGGCGTCAATGTGTCAGGCAGGAACGTGTGCTCCTTTATTACTGAATTTATTGTTAAAAATGTTCTTTAAAGTGCAAGAAAAGGAGCGTTATAACACAACTGCCTCACTGGGTGTTCCACCGGAGGACAGCCAAAGCTCTCCCCTCGCTGCTAATTACCCACGGAGCAAAGTCTTGAAATATTTTGATGCTTATCTAGCTGTGAAGGCTAAATGACACCGAAGGAGACGCAGATGGCTCAGGAGGAGAAGATGAAGGAGCCATAAATCTAGACGTCAATACAAGCGAAGCCCGAGGTGCTTAATAAGGTCCTGTTCTTCCAGTGTTGAGAATGGAGGAAACGTTTGAGCTGACCTGCTGGTTTTGTTGCTCGCTTAAGGAATTTACTTACAGCCGGACAGGAATCAGAAAAAAACTTAACATGAGCAGGCAACCTTCTGAGGCATCTGTGAGACTGATTGTTTCCCTTTTTCCAAATAAGAATTTTGTTCATCTAGAAAAAAAAAAATCATTGTGAATGTTTAATTTAAGGTCTAAATATTCTTCACATATCAAATTCAGCAGTCTGTAGCTGCAAATTTAGCTTTTTGATAATAAAAGTAAGCTAAATTTAATGTTTACATTCCTGAAAGTTTCTGTCATTGCTTTGGGTGAAATGCTTAAATCATATATTTTTAACTAAAAATAATTATTTAACTCTATCCATCCAATGTGATCTTAATATTAACCCTTTTTTATTTCTATTTTTTACTTTCCTGCCCTTTAGTTTGTTTCTCAGCTGCATAATTACATTACAGTGTTTACAATAGAGGGAAAGAGGGAGGATTAAACTTACTTCCCCCGATTAGGTTTGAGCAGATGCTTCCAGACAAAGCTGAATAAATGTGATGAAAATAATTCCACTGGTTAATAATGGAAGCAAAAAAAAAAAAAAGAGACGGTGACATCGCACATCAACTTGTTTAATGTTTGCTAAAAAAAAATCAGTTAATCCAGGATTTGCTTAAACTAAAACTGCCCACAGACTGAATGAGTTTCCTTCATATTGTTTTTGGTTTTCAGAGTAAAATTAACTAAAAGTGTTAATGGGAATTAGATAAATATCTGAACTGTTTTCACCTCATTGTTATGCTTTAACGTTTAGGGCCAACAGCAACAGCTGAAATGCGGGAAAGACACACTCCTCTTCACACTGTTAACATTAGAAAAGACGCTGCTGCCCATCAGACATGAGACAGAGAGAAAAGGGGGATGGGTCAGAAATGAGAGTAAAAAAAGACAAACATCACTCCACGTTCTCTAAATGAGGTGCTAAAAGCCCATATCATTAATGCTGCTGCCTCATCGGGGGCCACATGTGAAGCCTCTCCTGTACCTTCCATGACTCCTCGGGCCGGCCGACGAACCCCTTAAAGATCCAAACCAGTAAATCCCAAAATGTGCAGGCAGCTTTTCAGATACGGTCCATGTTAAATCCTTTTTTTGGGAAGCATTATATCCAGGCGATCCTTTCTGGTGGTCACCTTTGTCATGATCTTCCAGTGAAAGAGCTGGGAATCCCACTGATAGCCTCGGTACAGCACAAACCCTCCCTCTCTCGCCCTCTCTCTCTCTCTCTCTCTCTCTGTCTCTCACTCGCTCACTCACATGCAAACAAAAACACACACACACACACACACACACACACACAGACCCCTCCCCCTCGGTCCCCTGTGCCCTCCTCTGTCCTGGTGCCATTTGCCAAGGAGGGAGGGAATCCACCGGGGGCTCATTCATCTCGGCCCTGCTGACCCCCTACGGTGACAGATGCTCTCGGAGGCCTGCAGAGATGTGGAGGGAGGCGTGAACAAAGAAGAAGGAGGCCCTCCACCCTCCAATCTCCCCGCTGCCACGCGTGACCCCCCAACACGCCAACACATCCGCGTCATGTGCATCAAAAAACAAAACAACAGAGGAACTTGTGTGTGTGTGTCGGGGGGGTGAGCAGGTCTTTAAATCAAACTTTCGCTCTCACGCTCAATTCAGCCTCTCGTGGCCACACCCAACTTTTTTTTTTTTTTTTATTGCGGGCCAATTCGGAGAATTCGTCCCCAGCAAAATGGGGACAAGAATGTCAGGTCAGCATTTTGTCTTGGGAGCCTTACCCGGGATTGACCCCACACACTGGGCCTGTTTTACTCCCGCTATAAATACCAGGGGCTCATCTGGTCAAAATAAATAAACGGAAATGCGCCGCAAATCAAAAGGCGCGCTCGGCAGATGTTGGGGGATTATGTGTCATTATAGGCCAGTGATCAGCGCTCACACCTCGTCCCGACGCCACCAGGAGGAGAGGGAGGGAGTTTGATTTCCAAGTAAATAACCGAAATCTGATGTATGTCAGCGAAGTTAGGCAGCATTAAACACTCACACATCTGAGAAAAAACTGACTTCAAATCACTTTTCCTCACACTGTAATATATTTAAGATTATTAACATAATAAATGAGGGGTTCAGTGCCAAAGTGGGCCAAACCACAATAAGTTTAGTTTAATGTTTTTCTGGTGTTTATGGTCGACTAGTTGGTGTCAAAGTGCTCCAACCAGCAGCCCACTGGTAATGTCACGATGCCACTTTGAAGTTTGGCCCATGATGGTTTTGGAATGAAAATTTAACTGGACCAAACCACAGGAACCGCTGACCATTACATCGTAGGTAGTTCAATTCAAGATGGCGGACAGCGTGACCTCAAGCCCCGTGGAAACTCAACTGGTAGGTACAGTAAGGTGAAATAAAACCCTAACGAACCACCACCAAGCATCTGTTTCTACTCTGTTATGAAATAAGTCATCACAGAGCAGCTGTTTCTATCTCTGTTGGAAAATCTTTGGATGCAGAAAATGACTCTTCCAACAACCTCGATACTAAAACTAGTAAACATGGTTCGGCCCACTTTGGCTCTAACCGCCTCATATAAACAATCACATCCTAAAAATCTCTTTCCACTCAAGGTGATGAAGTGTGTGTTTTTTTGAGAAAAGATAAACTCGTCTTCCCGCCTTCACGTTTTTCCTGCTGGGGGAAAGATCTCGGCCTCCTTCTGGATAAGAGCTGAAACAGTTTGTGCTGTCATGAGAAAGATAAGAAATAACAAGCTGGTGCATAACTATTCAGGGACGGTGTGGGACAATCCTCCTCCCCAACTTCCAACCAGCAGGTCTAGAAAGTGTTGTAATGTACTGCTCTTTGCGCTTTCACATTTGCAAAAGCTTAAGTAAAACACCAGAAAGACATTTGCTGGTTTTCATCGATTGTCGGCAGATTTTCACCCCAAACTTGTCGTGGGTCGATAGCTCACTCAGAACTAAAGGAATCGCTAAGTACAGCTTGAGTCCCTGCTTCTGGAACATCTACCAAGAGAACAGGGTGGAAGCACTGCAGTGATCTATGAATCTGAGAGAGCACCAAGTAAGAGCGAGAACAAAGCCCCACACACTGGGGGTTCTGCTGAAAGATGGGAACCTAAATCGTAATCCTAATAATCTAGATCTGCATTTTGTGGTACAAATGCACAAGACGTGATAACTAACAATACGTATTGTGTTTAGGGTGAAAGTCTGTGGAATCAGCTCAGTAGGGGACAGAAAAAATAGACGAAAGTAGGCATGAACATGATGAACTGACAGAAATACCTGTGGTCCAGGCAAACTGATGGCACGTTAACGTTTGAATGAAGCACAACCGTATGGAGAGGACAAGCTCAAATGTCTCAGAGTTGTAGATGCCGATCTCACCCGACACCACAACGCAATGACAGACGTGGCCAACTAGTGTTGTGTAATCCCCAACACTGCCAGGTCAGAGCGGACTATTCCCGTATGTCGATGATTACATTGGTGGTGCTGAAATATTCGGCCGATAGCGGCTCCGAAACAGGCTTGAATAAGTTAACAGTGGATCATAATCCCTGCCACCCAAAATGTGTAGAGGCCATCCATCAAATAATGAAGCTGTAAAACAAATTTGACGAGTTTTCTGGGGATAATGTGATACTGCAACCGACAGGTTCCCGATTAGAGACACCGTTAGCTGCTGTAGCTCATGGAAGAGGCTTGTCAACAGACAACCAGGCAACACGGACGCCTGACGCAGAGTGAAAGCTTTTATTAAATCTAAAACTGGGTTTGCAGATTGTGGATA